GGGGTGGGGTAAAGGCAAGTTTCTTTTTTTAATGTTTTCTTGGTGGGGGAGGGAGGTGAGATAACTGATTGAGATCTTTTTATTTCACTATGTTTGATTCCACTATGTTTGATTCCCTCTAGATCTTTTTACTATGTTTGATTCCCTCTAGATCTTTTTATGATATGAGATTTATTTTTACATTCTTTTGTTGGTGGATTCTATGTTGAAGGAAGTAGTTTCTTTGTCAATAGATCAGTTTTTTTTCCCAAAGGAGGCAACTGTATCTCCTATTGTTGATGCAAAGGCATGTTTATTGCAGGTTTTGGTATAATTTGTCCTTCTAGATAGCCTCCAAGTAAGTAAGCTGTAAGAACACATGTAAATTAAGCTAATCTATACTATTTTTGTATTTGATATCAGGTGCTTGTAGATTGCTTTCTTGCTTCAGTCTCCATCTACCGAATTCGATCAATCGAGGTAATTAGTTTTCCATCTCGGAATCGATTTTTCTATCGATTACTTTTTTGTTGCTTTCTATTGAGTAATATAGTATTAGTTGCTTTCATGAAATCAATTTTTCTATTGATTAGTATTAGTTGCCTTCTTGAAATTGATATTATTTTAGTCTCTACACTCTTCCATACATGAATAAAGACCGCCCACACACTCTTCCCCCCCCCCCAAAAAAAAGAAAATGGGTATTCCAAACCATGAAATGTGTTGTTTGCTTTTTTGAAACTAGATGTGGTGTAGACAATTACTTAGAGCCCACAAGACTGCCATCCAACCATCAAAAATTGTCCAATAATCTGATTAAAACTGCTTAAATTTAGTTACAATTTCTTGGAAGTTAAATGAGTATGGTCCCTATCTTTACATACAATCTACTCAAGGTAAATGAGCAAGAGAAATACACCAAGATCTGTGTATACACATAAAGAAATTGTTAAAGCCTTTGAGCAGAGGGAAGTAGTAGGACCTTTGATATATAATGATGCATCTACCATTCTATCTTCTTTATCTTTATATCCAAATTGATGAAATACAATAGTCAAATCACACTTGGTCTTTTCTACTATTAATCGAAGTACATCTATAGGTCCTTGTGCTTATAAGTCAAAGTCATGGTCAAATACATTTAAAAAAAATTATAGTTTCATAATAAATACCAAAGTTGATGTTTTCTCTGTTTATAGTTTCAARTACATTTCCTGCTATGTCGGGTTTCTTGATAATAAGCAACCAAAGTTGATGTTTTCTCTGTTTATTTATGTGCATTGGGTTTTCTGTTTTGGGTGTGGGGGGTTCGTAGCCACCATGGATGGGCAGACCGGAGTTGGAAGGAGGGGGATAAAGGACTTGCAGTTTCATTCGATGGAGCGATGAAGGGATGTGTGTTTTACCTTGCCTTACATGCTTTCCATATTCTATGTTTCAATGTACACAAATTGGGGGGTCTTTCATGGATCAATTATGTTTATTTTGATTTCTTTTCTTGATAGATGGTTTTTTATTGTTATTATCTGCTATGTGGTTTTTTATCTTTGCTCTTACCATTTTTATGAGTTTGATCAAAAGAAGTAATATCTTAAGTTGCTAGAACTTAAGAATTACCGGTAAGCGCTTATTGAGTAAAAATTTGGATAAATATCTCGCAAGTGTAAATATATCATCCTTAAAATAACAAAACCGCCAAAGCTTCGAAATCGTTTACATTTACTGCTTCCGCCGCATTACGCGGGTAAACAACTAGTATATATATATATATATATATATATATATATATATATCAGCAATCAAATGCGAACCAACCAATTTGTACAAACCGTCAAACCACCCTCATCTGTCGATTTCATTGTTTAATCTTATAAAATTTTCTCATGAAATTGTTTAATCTTATAAAATTTTCTCATGAAATTGTTTAATCTTGTGAAACTGTTTCATATAATATACTTTTATGACTTCATGTACTACGGTATTTGATTCACTCTTGAAGAGTGTAATCTACAAAACCACTCATGTAGCCATGTTATATTTATCTTCATCAACTCACACCAGTCCAAGCTTTTACGATCCTTTTGGCCCCTGAAAGGGCGTGCCACTAATGGCTATGAGTTTGGACCTTCTAATCTTCCATGCGATATATGTTGTAATCCAATTCATTCTTTAACTCACGTTGAACCACCTTAAGATATGTGGCTCGTTGTGTACATCATCTTCATGACTAGTGTAGCGACCTCACATTGCTACTCTAAGGCACATACACTATACAATATATGTTCTTCAAACACAGGAAACTAGAAACTCAACCATACACACTTCTTACTTAATTTACCGAATAATTTTGTTTTGAATCACTAATAACATGTTTACTAAGATCCTATAATAAAAAAAATGGAAATTGAATTCATTGATTGAGATAGAGACAAGTTAGTCCGCCACGACTGCTCAACCAGCTGCTAAATCATGGGTTCGAATCCCATGTCAGAAATGTCAACTCCTTTGATTTGATGGAATTTTCTTTCAAAATGCTACTTTGCAGCAACCAAGCTCCGACACTACTTCCTTTCCACAATGAACATAGGCTAAAAGAGAAAACAAATACATACAACTAAAGCAAAGTCTTGGCTCGCTCTCATTGGGAGGCGGTTCAACCAGACTGACGAAGATTGATTCGCTTCTTCCTTCGCCCAAGCCTTTGGTCGCCCTGAAAGAAGCCACTATCAAAAAGCTCGCCCTACTGAAAGCTCTTGTCATTTTTGGTGTAAGCGAAGTTGAAGGACGGGGAGATGGGAGTATCAAAATGCAGCTATATGAGCATCAACTTGATAATTTGCCTCCTAGAATTGCATTATCGGAGCCGAGCCAGGAATGGCAGTTAGTGGATGTCAAGGGGGGGGGGGGATCATAGTCTTGAAACTTATCTGGCCGCTAACTAAGCCAGCTAAACCTTTCCTACTTTTGTATTCATCGTGCCCCCTAGGTTCGGTTCTCATAGATTTCCTTCACCAACTCATCGCCAACAATCCGCTCTTATCCCTTGAAAAGTTGGTCACTAGAAAGAAGCGACGAGGAAGCGAAGCTGTCTACGACATCCAAACACTTCACGACACCTATGATCAACGTTTGAAGCCTCCTATCTCTTAAAGCTCCTTCCTGGAGCTTTAGGTGTTAGGGACGTTTAGCAGACTTCAAGGCCTCACTGTTCTTTATCTCTACTAAGAAGCTCCATTCTCCTCCGGACCCTCGATTTGATTGTTTTCCAAGAATTCAACTTCCATGGACGGATATCCTAAATAAACTACTTCTCTGAAACAAAAAATTCAACACCGATTCATGCAGAAATTTAAGATTTAACCCATATATCACATAATATGGATAAAACCTCAATGCTTATTAACATTTGTTGCCTTCAAACATCGATTTTATGCTACAATGATTTGTCTGTGAAATCACTTGTTAACTTCATGTGACATATAAAATGATTCATTTTACAAGTCTAAACAGTACGACTTCTAAAAATTAAGATGTCGGCATATAAGACGATTCATTTTGATATAGAAAAAGCCAAAGACATCAGACCAAATATATTAAAAACCGATGATACTATAAAACAAAGATGCCAAGTCCTATAATGTGAAAATCTCAAAATAGACGTTAATATAAAAGTTCAAAAACAATATTTGTAAGCACAAATAAAACGCCGCCACGTGTTTATTTTTTTGGTAATACATAATATTTCTATTTTACATTAATTTTTATTAGTGACATAACCACCTCACTCAACCAAACGACTGACAGTTAACATATCCTTGAAGCTAAACTATATTCGCCGGTCAAAGTTCCGGTTTCGTCTCCGCCACGGACAGCGGCTGTGATGGTTCTCCGCCGCCAATGCTCACCACCTTCGGTCCTTTTATCTGTTCAGGCGACAACTTCCTGATCGAAATCGTCAGCACCCCGTTCTCAAGCTTTGCATTTACTGAATCTAGATCGAGATTATCCGGCAACCGGAACTGTCTCCAGAACTTCCCATACGACCGTTCACGGCGGTGCCAGTGATCACCACCACCGTCTTTCTCCTCCTTCTCCCTCTTTCTCTCTCCGCTAACTCTCAACACTCGATTTTCTTCCACTTCAATCTTTAATTCTTCCTTYTTCATCCCAGGGACTTCCATCGTGATCTCATGACCGTCGCGTGTCTCCTTCCAATCCACCCTCGCCGGCGACACGATCAGTTCGTCGTCCCGCTGGATTCCGAACGGAATCTGCTCCAATTCTCTAAAAGGATTGGAAAACAAATCAGATAAGATACTGCCACCGATTGGATCGTGATGATGATCGATTAGCGTCGATAACAGAGATCCGCCACATTTTCCGGCGAATAATAGATACAGAAACCCCAATAGCAGAATCGTTCGCATGGTCGTGTTAGTGATTGTATATGATAGCTCGATTAGGTTTGTTGAATTTCTGGTTTCATGGTGGTTGTTTTAAGTTGTTTATATAGCAGGTGGAGGTCCATTGGAGAAATTTCTTGAAGGTTCTGGTCTTCTGGAGAGGAAGAAATGGGTAGAAGCTTCCAAATGTATCTTCATGAGGATTCTAGGGTGACTCTGGAACATGGTGTTTTTATTTCTTATCATTGTGTATATATGTAAATTACATAATTGGTCCATGTGGTTTACATAATATAAAATTGTGCTTCCGCAATTTGAAATAGTTATGGAGACGTTTCTGTGGTTTATATTTTTACACGTCTTCGGTCCTTTGTACTGACTCTATTAAAAAAATTCTGTTAAAGTGGTTAAGTAGAGGGGTATTATAGTCATTTTACCTTTTTCATATTTTAATAGTAAACTTTACTTTTGGTCTCTAAGGTTATGTGATTTCTTTATAAGTGAAACCTAAACTTCAATAAATCAAAAAGTCCTGTTAGGTTTGAATTTTGCTTTAAAAATGGTATCTGGTCATTGACTCCGTTAAAAAAGTCTATCAAAAATAGGGGTATTTTCGTCAAACCATATTTGGTCCCCCTTTTTGCAATTCTTTTTGTTTTTTTCTTATTTTTGTCTAAACCATGCAAGTCAAAGGTAAGTAATGGTGCCTAAGTTTGAACCTAAATCCTCGTTCATAAATGACCGCTAGGAATGTGTAAAAGGTTATCCGATCCAATTTTATTCGACTGATAATAATTGGATCAATCAGTTATAAAACGACATTTTATAATCTAACAAAACCGAACTGAACCGATCCATTCCAATTATCATTCAACAACCATTGTTATGAGACATATTTTGTATTTCATATTGGATTTTATAATTACAAAAAAATAAGGGTTACATTTGGTTCTCATTATATTTCTGGAAGGAAATGAAATCTTTAAAAGAACTATAATGCAAAAGAATTGAAATCCAAGATGAAAACTAATGATGTACTTTAAGCATTTTAAGGATCAAATCCAAAAATTGAGCATAACATACACCCAACTCATAATTGGCGAATTCGTAGATTCAATTCCTACTAGATGCACGCAGAAGAGCTGCTTTTGCTAAAACTCGAGCAGTTGCTTGAAAACTCGTGAGAACAAGAATATAGTTATTGAAAAGAAAATTATTATTCACGATATCTTCATCTGGTGAACCAAAAAAGACCTTAGTGACACCGAAAGTATAGGGATTATGTAGTTATTTTATATAAGTTGGAACTAGTTATGCAATTTACTTATACATCAGGGGGATTTGTTGTAAATTCTCGTGCAAATTAAACCCCCGCCCAAATTTATTTATCTTCCCGCCAAAATCAAACCCTAAATAAGCGAACAGCTCTTCAATCGACTCAACCCAAACCTTAATCAATCTACAACTTTACAGTTATCAATGGCGGAAGGAGAAGAAACCCAGACGGAAGTCGTTCAATCAGGATTACCAGCCGGTAGAGTGAAACGAATTATGAAACTGGACAAAGAAATCAACAAAATCAACTCCGAAGCCCTGTTTGTAATCTCGAGCGCGACCGAACTTTTTGTCAAGTTTTTGGCTGAGAAATCATCGGAGGTCGCAATTGAGAAGAAACGGAAGACGATAAAGTTGGAGCACCTGCGAATCGCGGTGAAGAGACACCAGCCGACCGCTGATTTCCTTCTCGACTCACTTCCTATGCCACCGCCGGCTCAGATCCCAACCAAAACAGATCGTTCTCGCAGAAGCAGCGATAATGACTCTGTTCCAGCCGGCACTCGTCGGATAGACAGTTTCTTCCAGAAAGGTCCCTAGGGTTTTGTAATTGGTCAGTGCTTGCTGGTAGGAGTTGTTTGTATCTATTCCTTTTAAATTAAATCACCAGAACCATATTAGCCTTTAAGATCATTGGAATTCGCAATTTGAATTGGAGATGTCAAACGATCCGCTACAAATTCTCCAATGGTTCGATCCTGATAGATCAAGTTATTGCTAGCAGAGCTTTTCAATCCAGCTGTTTCTTAAAATGCTAAAATGTAGATACGTTTTCCTGTATTTAGCAGTAACTCTAAATTTTATGCTTGGCTATTCTATAAGTTGATACCAAAAGATATTTTAATTCGCAGATTTCATGATTGAGAAACGAATCACAGAAAAGTGTAATTTAGGATCATTCATGGGATCTAAACTCACAGATTCTTCATCAGCTCTGCCTCTTCGTAGCCACATCACCAATAAAAGGAACAGTCTGAATTTTGGAGGTCAGGCCTATTGCTCTTTTGATTCAAAGTAGATATGCATTTGACCCCCAATTCATGCAAACATTCTTTTTTTTTTATCTTGCGTCTCTTGGGAGTTAGTTAAGATGCTTATCAATATTGTGTCAAAGCATTTGAAGAATTCCTCTAAATGTGAAAGATGAACCTGATCTGTTTGACATCAATTTGTCATACCCTACCTTTTCTTGAGTGAAGGGCTGAAAGGAGCACTTTTAAACTACTATTTGTTGGATAGAACCTTTTGTTTCATAGATTTGGGTCTAAATTTGTTGCCCTTCTTCATCCCCAAGTGGCAAATATCTTGAGTTTTTGCATTTGTTTATGAGGGAAGTTGTAACAAAGGTTGTTCAAAGTAGGAATAATAGTCTTAATCTCTTACCAAGTCCTTTTGTCTGTGTGGCTTTAGACTAGCAGGTAAGAAGGTGGACATCTTTTTTAAAAAAAGAGTGGACAGTCTGGGCTTCAACTCTAGACACACGATCCAACTTGTCACATGATCGTGTGACCGGTATGGTGGGGGGCTTCAGAGGGTGGCGTTATACACTTGGCAAAAAGTAGGGATAATAGGGGAACAAGAGCATGATTTTAAGCTATGATGATGTTATGGAGAAATTGTTGCGAATCAACAAGGTCGTTAATTGATAATTGAAGGAGCTATTGCATGTTCTGTTTAGGCTCTATTAATGGAGCAAGATCCAAGATGATCAAGGAAACACTTAATGGGCTGATTTAAGAGATTCATGCTACTTCTAAAACGGTCCATTAGAAAACGTTGCTATGGTAGCTTCTCCATCATGGTCTACATTAGCCTGAACCATAGTGACATCTATTTCCTTGTAATAGTCATCCACACTCTTATAGCCTTGAGTAAGACTGCAATTTCTGATACAATTTATTGTCTGGGGACAAACCATCTCCTCATGTTAGCCTTCATCTCATCCTAAGTCCCAATAGGCCCCCCATGATTTCCTCTCCCATTAATCACAAATTGATCCCACCAAATAATAGCATCGTTAAGAAACTCAATGACAACAAGTTTTACCTTTTTCTTCTCGGAGTAGTTGTGATCAGCTACACTTTTTCTCCCAAGTAAGCCTCAGGATTTCTTTCCTTGCAAAGTTGGTATCTTCATTTTGATGTTTTCTAAGTTTATGTCAAACCCATTTTGCCACCTCAGATCACTTCAGAAAACTCTACCAATGCCTTTTGCCCCTTGAAAATGAAGTTGCCTTGTCACTTAATGAAGCTTGATTGTGTTCATCTTCCAACTCATCCTCAAAATCTTCTACATGTGCATTCCTTTCTGGCCTACTTGCATTCAGACTCTTAGCCCCCCCCCCCCCCCCCCC